TCTGCCAAAAAACAACACTCTATACCTCGAAAGCCATGTCAAGTGCAGACACAGCTCCATACCAGAAAGTCCTCGCCAAATGTCAACCGCAACACAGTTGGCCAAAAAATCGTATACTCCTTTCATTGGGTGAAAATGTAGTCTACCACCTAACTTCCAACAGCATGAGTAGAGCAGTGATAACAAGTGAGTTGGAAAACAAGGGCAATCATCGTCAAATCGTCTGCGCTAAAAGATTTACAGTTCAAATTGGAACCTTGAGAGTATGAACACGATCAGATGTAGGAAGAATGCATTGAGGTCGAGATCGCATGGAAGGAGCGCAAGAAGACTATGGTTGGTTTATTTTACCTGCCTTGTAATTTCTATCGATCACATCGCTCTGAAGAAACATATGAAGGCACTTTTCGCTTTGCACCAATGGATGTCCTGCAACCCTAAAGTGATTTCACAATACATGTTGACGGTGTTTCCAGTAAATTTCACACGAATAATGCGTACCAGTAAGGACACACCAACATCACAATAGATTTTGCTCAAGATAGAGTGAGTTAACCCAGCCAATATCATGTTTGCGATTCACGCGTACACTTATATTCCATACCAGCAATAACGACAGGTATGATAAAAAGCCATCATTAGGGAAGAAAGACTTACTTATTAATGAACTCCTCCAATCCCTTTCTCCTTGCCTCAATAAAATCACTGTCAAAAAGTCCATCGTCAGCGCGAAATGGAATTTGCCTTTTCCACGCCTTACCGGGGAGCTTGGGAACAATAATCTAAAGTGGAGTTCAAAGGAAGGTAAAGGGCAATCGGTTTGAAGAAACGAACCTTACTTTCGCGATCTAATTCACTTCGCAACCAGTCAAAATCTCGATACCGCCGACGAACGCTTGACTCGGACAAGCGAAACACAGGAAGATTGGTCTACAACAAATTACTTGCCCTAATTATCCCACCTTTAGCTTCACCTCATAATCAACGTATCGTGATTTCGCATCTCCATGAACCTGCGGATTGCAAACATCAATTTCAAGAAAGTTTGCAGGCGGCGAGTACGCATCCTCTAGCGTTTGTTGCTTTGTTTCAAGCCTCCGCGTTGCGGACTCCATCTCCGGAAGCGAAAGTAGATATGGCTACCCACACGGCTATAACCTTGGCTTAAGCCAATAAAGCGAAAGAATGCTCATGTTAAGCAGAAATAAGGCATTAGACCAATAATTTTGTCCACAAACCCAGTCTATAAGGCATTTA